CTGGTTCCACAACAACATTGTGACTTTGCGCTGATTATTAGCGGCTATAAGTCTCATTTGTAGCTACTCCTTAAGGTCCGAACAAGGATAGAGAGATAATCCACACAGAGGCCTTAGTACAATACCTGACATATAGTAAGCATTCAAACCTTTACCGTCATTTTAAGCAAAAGTGGAAAGGAAATGAAAGGTGGGAAGGAATTCGTGAAATTATCATCCCAATCCTTTTGCAACTGAAATTAAACTTTCAGAGGGAGATACGTGAGAACTCTTAAAGCACGCTACTGGGAACTGGCACAGAAATCACTAACTCACCACACCCACTGCAAGAGTACCTTCTACCCCTCCCCTGTAGGAAGACGAAAAATTATGTGGCGTGGGACAGGCTAGAAAACACTGCTTAAATCTGTCTCACCAGCACAAAATTAAATATCTGATAAAACAAACAGGGTGTGTAATAAACGGGGGGAAAAATACGCTCTTTGTGGAGTCAACATCCTCCCTTAAGAGCCAATTCTTTTGCAAAAATGACTGAAGTGCTTATTACAATACCTTACACATAATGTTCTCCTAAGAAGTTTGCAATTAATACTATTGTCTCCGTGTTTACGAAAGGCCAAAAACGGCCTAGTGTCCGTTTCATGAGTTTAATCACAAGGTCACGGCTATGACAATTTGGGGGTGGAGGAGGGGGTGGGGCTCAATGGTCCTTCCGCAAGACCTTTGGGTCAAGTACCACCCCCGAGGGCTGGAGCCGGGCCTGCGGCGGTGGACCCCGGCTCCGGCCCTCGCCGGAGATAGAGACAAGGAGCCGCCCGCCGGGCCCCTGGGGCTCCGGGATGGGGGTCAGGGGATGAGGCCGTGCGGCCTGCGCTCCGGGTGCTCCCCTCCCAGCCCCCCGGGCCCGCTGCGGCTGGTCCCCTAGGCCTGGGGTGGGGGGAGGCGGGGGTCCCCGGAGAGGGCCCCGGCCTCCCGGCAGCACTAACTTCTCAGCCAGCAGCTCCTCTATTCTCCTTCTTTTCTTCTCCCTAAAAGAAAGAGAGAATAAAAGAAGGGTCAGCATCACGCTACACATTGGGCGCCGCGAGGGGATGGGGGGGGCGAGGGGTCGGGGCGGGGGGTCGGGGGACCTCCGGTGGCGGCGGCGACCGCCCACCGCCGCGCTCTCTCACAACCCAGCCCGACCCCGCACGCCTGCAGAGCCCTAGTACTTACGGCTCCTCGCCATCCGCCATATTGTTCTCCGCCTCTTCCCAAGAGCCCCCACGGCGGGCGGGCGGAGGGGCAGGACGAAGCGTAGGGGCGGGACCAGCAGGGAGAGTTGGAAAGGGACGGGGAGGAGCAGAAAGGGGCAAAGGGGCGGGACCTGAGGAAGGGGTGGGGTTGACGGCGCCGAGGCTCCCCTGCGCTCTAAAGCTTTTTCACGTAATTATAATCTTGATTAACTACACTTAATTACATAAATCTTACCCAGAGTATAACATTATTTTGCGTGAAAATATACGCACAATACGCCATATGTTTATACAATTTACGTGGTAATTAATAATTATAAAAAATGGTATGTTCTGTGAAAAACTCCTTGGAAGAGCCACCCTTATGCTGCAGAGCGTCTCTCTGAGGCTAATCATCAGAGTAATTTTCACCTTTAACTTTTCAGGAAACATTTTTGCATAAGAGTACGCACTTTGAGAATAAAATCTAAATCAGTTTGTAGTGATGGGATGGAGAGATTATTATTTTCATGCTTTGTGAATATCGAAGGTAGACTTTTTAATGTCCCATGATTCTGTCAGATAAGTTCAGCAGCAATAGAACCGAATAGGGGAAAAAACAAAACAAAACACCTTTTTTATGGGGAAAAACATATATTTAGATAAAAGTACAAAGAAAAAAAGCACAAAAATTAAGGAATAATTTAGAACACCTATAATCTCATCACCTGAAGATAAATGATAAAATTTTGGACTATTTTCTTCCTGGCAGACAGAAATAGATAGATAGATGAAAGTGTGTGTGTCTCGATGACTGGATACAAAAGTTCATATTAAAAAGAATATGTATATATATGTGTGTGTGTGTGTGTGTGTGTGTGTGTAGCCTTTCTTGGAGCTGGAAAAAATGAGATTTAGAGTCAAGAAGAACAGTTTAAATTCTTAACTCTCCACTTATAGAACTATGAGAGTTTGAGCAATGTTAGGTCTTCATTTGTAAAATATTTGCCTTGTAAGACTGAGAATTGAATGAAATACAGTGGTTCTCAAAATACAATCCCTGATCAACCACTTGGGAAATTGTTATAAATGCAAGTTTTCAGGCCCCATCCCCAACCTTTTGCAAAGCCCTGTATGATTCTGTGCAAAATAAAGCTTGAGAACCACTGACATGGAGTTTTGTAAAACCTAATGGGTACTCAGTAAATGTAGCTGCTGTTAATAAATTATGATGTTGTCTCCTCTTTGTCCTTTATTATCCCTCAATCAGGTTCAGTTCAAAAGCACTCATTGAGCTAAAAGTCAGTGCCAGGCAGTAAGTGGGAGAAGACAGAGTTCACAGTCCACAGTCTGTAGCAGGAGACACCAGCCACTTTCTTGGGTCACATGTCTCAGTAACAAGCCAGAAACCTCTTTTTTTTTTTTTTTTTTTTTTAAATTTTGCCCAGCCTACTCAGCCCATAGAAACCACTGAGATTAAGCCCTTGCTTTTCAAAACAGGCTCAATGGGTGGGGACCAAGCAATGTTACTTTCTGATCAAAAGGAGACCTTCTGATTAACAACAGTAAGCTCCACACACCCCCTCCCCCACATGATAAAAACCAACAGGCGCCTTAGAGACCATCTAGTTCAAACCTACCCAATTCATAGAGAGGAAGGTAAGGCTCAGGAACAGGGTGCTGATGGACAATGAAGAGGCGTGCAAAGGCATCTAGCCCTTCATCTGTGTGCCTTGGGACTAACACCTAGACTGCTGTGGTGGTGTTTTGCTAGATGACACCAAGGCGTTCCCACTGACTGAGACAGACCATTTAGAAATAGCCACCTGCCCTTGCCAGCAATGAAAGTAACAGACATGCAACTGATTTATTTCATTTCAAAGGGAATATATCATAAACTATTAGACTATCCACTATGGTTTGTATACAGACAGATAAATATTCAGGATGGGTCCATCTAGAAGCACAGGCATGGATATAAGAGCCACAGGAAAGCCTCTACACTGAATCTGACCCATTAAATGAATAGTGACAAAGTACCGCTACTAATAGCATTTCAAAGAGTACCTGAAATCAAGTAAGGATTCCAGATGTGTCCATTTTGATTTAAAATGATTTTGACAAAGAAATGTGTAGTGGGGGGAAAAAAAAGTCATACGCAGCCAGAAAGAGAAGTCTGGTTAGTATTTTGTAAGAGAGGGAGAAGGAAATCATGCTAAATACAAGTTACACCTGGCTTTTTTGTTTATTTTTAAACCTCTTTGGAGGTTTAAACAAATAAATTCTTTTTTTTTTCTTTCTTTTTAAGCGGGCTCCATTCCCAACATGGGGCTTGAACTAAAGACCCTGAGATTAAGACTCCCAGGCTCTATGAACTGAGCTAGCCAGGTGCCTGTAAACAAATTAAAAAAAAAAAAAATTCACGGAACAAATGTTTACTGGATATCAATTGCCTATGATCAATGAGGAGTCATATTATCACTAACAGACATCTGACAGTTTACAGTCATGCAGTCTTGAGTAATTAGAAGGTTCTTGGTCACAGCTCCTAATGCTCACTGAGAGCTCCAACAGGTGTGGGGTCCTACTGGCGCTGGTATGCTGGTCATGACCAAGATCATCTTCTCAGCTTGCCCACAGTGTGGCTTCTTGAAATTCTAAGCCCCAGGGGATTCTTCCACACCCTCTAACTTCCTGTAACTGAGCACTAAGTTCTGGGACATCTCTACTCAGCACTCCTCTTAGTGCAATATGTTTAAGTTAGTCTTTGCACTGCATTGCAAGATCCTTGAAGGCAGGGCAAGGTTGCACTCTTTTCACCTTTTGTTTTTTTAATCCCCCAGAGTGTTTTCATAGAGCCGTGAAAGGACTCAAAATATTTGCGGCATCATACTCAAATCTTCCACCTTTTTGTCCCCTATGAAGCCCACTCAGAGACAATCACCACAATAAAATTACAACAAGATAGAGAAAAGTCAGTGGACGTTCATTATAAACCACAGAAAACAAATCAGGTTAACACACTATTATTAATACCATATAGATGAATCATGGTCTGTACTATTATTAATAATAATAGCAGTAATATCTAACTCTAAGCAATTACTCTACACTATTGGTCACTGCAGACCATTGCTTGCTTTCTAAAGTGAACAACATCCCAGCTCAAGGTTGATGAACCCAGAGTGCCCACTGCATCAGAATAGCACAGTAGTTCAATAATTTTGTCTGGAGAAGACAGAGATGGAGAAAAGAGAGAGAGAGAGAGAGAGAGAGGTGAAATAACAAGCCAGCCCTTCTGTTACACGTTCTTCTTTCCCATTTTGCCAATCTGATTTCACTCATAGTGACTCATAGTGAAGGAGAAAACATCAGAATTGCATTCAGATGTGCAGAGGTTAGAAACTACTTAGTTTCCAAAACCAGCTCATCTTCCAGGAACGCTGTAGTTGCCTTCCGTTCCATTTCACTTAGATTGGCATCTGAACAGCTGCAAAAAAATTTCCCTGAAGTCCAGAACACATTCTTATGTTGAACACCCAAAAGGGGGTATTTTAAAGGAGGTGGTGTGTATTCGCACTGTCAGAGAGGGCATTGCCATTCACACTGGGGATTTCCTGTGGTTTCTTTGTGTCAATTTCATCTCCATTTTGCACTCTGCCCCTTGCTCTGTCTCGAGGCCCCACTTTTCGTAGCCAACCTCTTAGAGCCAATCAAGAAGTAAAGAAGAGAAAAACGCCCGCCCGCTCCCAATTTCCTTCGCTCCGCTGCTCACCAACCGCAGAGCCGGCTGAGCCTCAGCCGCTGTCATCTTTAACCCAGCTCAGCTGATCGGTTGGCGCCGCCGCCGCCGCCAGATTCCAGAAGGGAAGAACAAGAAGCTGAAAGAGTAGACATGGACGTGAATTTCGCCCCGCTCCGCGCCTGGGACGATTTCTTCCCTGGCTCTGACCGCTTCGCCCGGCCGGACTTCAGGGACATTTCCAAATGGAACAACCGCGTGGTGAGCAACCTGCTGTATTATCAGACCAACTACCTGGTGGTGGCTGCCATGATGATTTCCGTTGTGGGGTAAGTAGGGTCCCCCTCCGGGGCACTGATCGAAGGCGGCACCGTGGGGTTCCGGGTGTACAGGATCCCGGGGGGTGGAAACGCTCTCCACGCCCAGCCTCCGCCCTGGCAAGAGCAAGCGGTCAAGCCAGTGGAAACTTGTCAGGGCGAGGCCGCAGCAATCCTGATGTCCCCTTTTCCTGCCGGTGCCCCGGGCGGAGAGGTAAAGGGATTGCTAGGGGTGAGGAAATTTTGCCAGCTTCGAACAACAACAACAACAACAAAGCCTTTTTTTTTTTTCCTTCTGTGCCCTGATTAGGCCCTTGTTGTAGATATTTGCAGCGCCCCAGTCTTTTAAAAATAAGAACCAGGGAAGTGGTGTAACCCTATTCTGGGGCTGGTGGGAACGGGCGCCGCCCTGGGAGACTTGGGCGACTGGGTGTGGATCCGAACTCTGCATTCTGGGGGTTTTCGTGTAAAAAGGGCACCCAGGAGGCGACGCGCTTTGTCGGTTTCTCCGCCTAGTGCCCGCCTCACTGTGTGAGGAAGATGAGCTTGGAGCAAGAGGGTGGGTGTTTCCTGGTGGCGCAGCTCCCGGTGTGGGTTGAAGGCTGCCCTGACTCTAGGAACCGGGTTCTCTTGCGTTTTCATCCAGGACCTGTCAGGCGTGGCTACTTTCTCTCCTTCCCTTCTAGCCCGTGGTCTCATCGTATTAAAGACCTTCTCAATAGCAGATCTTAAAATAAGTGTTGTCAAATACAGTTCCACCCGCTTCCCGCACACACACCTGTTCTTCTAGAAACCACCTTTTCTTGTAGTTTACCCTTTAAGAAATGCTTTTCTGACTTTTGCAGGATGGCGATATTCTAGATCTTGCTGATTCTATGCATCTTTAAAGAAAAAGCCAACCTCAGATTTTATAAAGGAACTCCTGTGCCAATACAGAGGGAAAGTTGGCCTGGGAGAAAGAGGAGGAATCTGCAACTTGGAGGGTGTGGGAAAGGCCAAATAGGGTGTTTCTTAGGTTGATTTGCTGATCTTTGGCTTATTTATTATTAAGTCACTTCTTGGTGACAAGCTCAAAACAACACCAAGATCCAGCAGACATGACTTCTAGCCCAAGGGCACGTGGCAGTCGTTGAGAAGCTACAGTACCAGGAACAGCACGGTGGAGAGAGTTCACAACTTCCAGACCTGGTTCCAAGTAGTTGTCCCCATGCAGAAGAGAACCCTCATTTGTGGGATTCAGTGGACAGTTGCACAGATCCTCATTCTGTGTTGCTTAAGGAATCACAAACTCTAAGAATGACTTGGTGTGTGGAAGGCATAGGCTCTGAGCCGACTCTGAATTAGAGTGGCTGCCAAGTTAAAATTAGTTGGGGTAGAACAGGGCTAAGGCCTGGGGCGGCTGCTTCCTGAACCTTTCCCCTATCCTTATGCTTGAAGCTCATTTCCCAGAACATGAAAAGGTTTTTTTGAAACAAAATAAATTGTATATAGGATTGCATCTGTTGGTTTGCTTTCTTTTTCTTTTCTCCCTCCTTAGTAAAGAAACAAGCCAGACATACTATCTGGTGATCTAGATATGAGGCTTTTCTTTTTTTTTTTTTTTTTCCTTTTTTTTTGTGCGGTAACCCTCAAAACTTAGATATCAGACAAGGTTTGACACATATTAGTCAAATGTTCAGAGAAAACTATTGCTTTTCTTTCTTTTTTTTTTAAGATTTTATTTATTTATTTGATAGAGAGCGACACTGTGAGAGGGAATACAAGCAGGGGGAGTGGGAGAGGGAGAAGAAGCAGCTTCCCACTGACCCTGTAGCCCGATGCAGGGCTCCATCTCAGGACCCCATGCCCATGACCTGAGCCAAAGGCAGACGCTTAATGACTGAGCCACCCAGAGGCCCCAAAACTATTGCTTTTCAAAGAGGTGTACTGCCCAGACTAGTTACAGGCTTGGGCAGGCTTGCTGCTTTGATGGAATCCATTTTTCACTGTGAAGGTCAGGGTCCAGCCCCCTGACTAAATATAGCTCCTTCATTATAGTGCCATAGCCTGCTCACTCCAGGCAGTTTTGAAGAGTTGGCCATTCTCCTTTCAAATAAGAAATGTTGGTTGGCAGTGAACTTTTTGAAGGTAAAAGTAAAAAATAGCATCTTTACTTTTATTGTTTTAAAAAACTTAGAAAAGATACATGCCAGCAGTAAATTGATTTGAAAACTACATGTGTGTAAAAAATAGGATTTCCTTCATACCCCAGTAAAAATTTGGTGTATGACCTTTACCTGTTTTCTCTGCACCCACAAACACACAGTAATTTTTCTACAAGTGACTTTTTTCTTTACAATCTAATAGTAATAAAAGCAAACATTTATTGCATACTGAGTGCTCTGTGTGCCAAGTATTTGGTAAATAATTTACCTTCATTATCTCATACAACCCAGTGAGATGAGATATTATTATTATTGTTATTACGATTATTATTATCCTTGAGGCTCAGAGAGTGTAAATTGACTTGCTCACACTTGTGCTCTGAACTAATGTGCCATCTGGGTTTTTTGGTTGCTTTTTTTAAGATTTTATTTATTTATTTGAGAGAGAGAGAACATGAGCGGCGCGGGGCGGGGGCCACAGAGGGAGAGGGAGAAATAAGCTCCCCGCTCAGTGGGGCTCCATGCCAGGAGCCCAGGATCACGACCTAAGCCGAAGGTAGATGCTTAACCGACTGAGCCACCCAGGTGCCCCTAATGTGCCATAATGTGTCATCTTATGAGTCATGAAGTTTAGTCTCTTTTTTTTTTTTTTTAAGATTTTATTTATTTATTTGACAGACAGAGATCACAAGTAGGCAGAGAGGCAGGCAGAGAGAGAGAGGGAAGCAGGCTTCCCGCTGAGCAGAGAGCCCAATGTGGGGCTCGATCCCAGGACCCTGGGATCATGACCTGATCTGAAGGTAGAGGCTTTAACCCACTGAGCCACCCAGGTGCCCCGAAGTTTAGTCTCTTAAAGCTGGAAGAAACCAAATATCTTCAGGGTCAGGGAGCTTAGTTGACTCTGGAACATTTTTCATTCTAAAGAGAACTTTCTCGGTGATGTCAGGAGATGGGTGGCTCAGAGCAGTGTTGGAGGCTGTTTATCTGGTTCTTCTATAGCATCTGACAGTTTCCCATACTTTGGTAGAGTGTGTGTGAAAATGTGGCCTGGGTATTTACTGGGGAAGGAACCATGTTCAAAGGGTGTTCTTCAAAGCTTCTGTCCCTGAGTAGTGACAAGGGGCCTCCAAGGCCTTGTTGGAGGGCTCTAGCCTCAACTGTGAATTCTCCTGTGTTGCAAACTGGCTTGGGTCAAGATGCAGAAAGCCTGCTCTTCCAGCTCGCAGGAAGGAAGAAGTAAGACCAAGTAGATATCATTTACCTCCAAAAGCAACAGAAAGGGCTGCCTTTCCCAAGATGGAGGTTGAGAGGGATTAGGATAGAGGTAAATCTGTATCTGAGGGCCTGATCAGGCAGGGCCTTGTAATCCATGGTTAGAAGTTCCATCTTCATCCGAAAAGCCTTATTTACCAGGCATGTGACTTCCACTCAGTAGGTCTACTCTGCCTCTTAGATTAATTCTGAGTCTCTTAGCTAACAGCCTTTGTTAAAGATAGTTGTCATATGTTCTGGCTCTTCAAAGAGTATAAAGTAGTGGTTAAGAGTTCAGGCACCGGAGCCACATTAAGTAAATTTTAAATCCCAACTGCCGGTCATTAGCTGTGTAACCTTGGACTTCAACTGCGCCCGTGCCTCAGCCTCCTTATCTATAAATGAGTCTAATTATAGTACCTGTCTCATAGGGCTTCTATGAGGATTACCCGAGTTACTACAGGCAAAGTTCTTAGAATAGTATCCAGCTCTTAGTTTTTGCTCCACACATGTTTCTTCTTATTATTATTATTTATCATTGTTGGTATGAGAAACATAGACAGCATCTTTATTTATTTGACAGAGAGAGATCACAAGTAGCCAGAGGCAGGCAGAGAGAGAGAGAGGGGAGGAGGAAGCAGGCTCTCTGCCGAGCAGAGAGCCCGATGCGGGACTCGATTCCAGGACCCCAAGACCATGACCCGAGCCGAAGGCAGAGGCTTAACCTACTGAGCCACCCAGGCATTCCATAGACAGCATCTTTACCCCAACAGCTCCATCCTCCCAAGCTCCAGTTGCCAACTTACCTACTCCTACTTCTCCTTCAAGACAGCTTTAGTACCATCTCTTTGGGAACATTTTCACTTTGTTCCTCACTTCCTTGCGTTAGTTGGGCCACACACCTGTGCCTGTATCTTTCCTGGTAGTTAACCTCACAGGCTTTTAAGTTGTCTGCTTCCTTGTCTCCACCCTGGACTATAAATTCCTTGAGGCCAGAGACTGTGGGTTTTGTTTGTGATTGCTTTTTCTTTTTCTTGCCGTGGTTATCAATTGTCGTGGTTATACAATTACGTATTGGCGGTATCCCTGAGGCCTCCTCTATAGCCGATGCTCAGTTGGTGAATACAAAGTAAATAGATGAACAGAAGGCCGCAATGTAATCACAGGGGCAACTGTTAATCAACCTAATGGAACAAATTATGTTGAAGCACATAGCAGCACTCTAGTACATAGCAACAGCATGCTCCTCAAGTGATTCTAACTGGGTCATTGCTGACAGCACTTGCTACATATTGGCTAAGATTACTATAGTGTAAAAATAAAATTTAGAAAAGGTTATAATGCAAACTCTTCACTAATTCCTATTGCCCTTATAGAATTTTGGTGAAATACTCCCCTGCCAGCTTTCTCAATATCAGCACTATGGACATTTGGGATCATACAATTCTTCGTTGTAGAGGACTGTCCTGTGTATTGTAGGATATTTAGCAACACCCCTGCTCTCTACCCTCTGAATGCCAGGAGCACCCAGGCTCTCAAAAATCTGCCTGCAGATGTTGCCAGATAGCCCTTGGGCGGGGGGGTCAAAATTGCCCCTGGTTGAGAACCACAGCTCTG